CCCGCCGGCCCGGCTGACCTCCCGATTTTTCCCGGACATGCCCGGCTTTTGGGGATTTCCCCCCGGACGGGGATTTGAGCCCCCCAAAAGCCGGACATGTCCGGGAAAATCCGGACGTATGGTAACCCTAATATATTATGTTTGCCTTGGTCATCTCCTATCTCAGCTACTGCAACCATCCCTTTTGTGTCCCCCCTCCCCCGCCTTGCCACGTCTGTTTGCCTGTCTTCCTCTGTCTAGTCTACACACAGTATAAAGGGCCCGGTCATTCAAGGTGCAGAGCGCTCACAACTCCCACTGAAATCATTTGGCAGATGGCAAGCACTCACTGCTTTCCAGAGGCACCGAGCACCTTGCCGGCTAAAAATCTTCATCTTCTCCCACCAGTCTGACCATGTAATTCCCTTCTCAGATTCTCCACACTGACTTCCTCTTGCTCACTATAGCTTATCATCCTCACCTTCAAGCTGCGACACAATTTCATCTCTGCATACATCTCAGATCTCCTTTTGTCCTCCTCCCTATCCACACAAGTCATTCTGGTTGGCACGTCATCTGTATCCTTCTCCCGGTTTGGCCTCCTTCCACGTTTTGTGCTGGCGTTTTCACATGGAATGCCTTTTCTTTCCTTTTGCACTAAGAGCCTGATTCATTGCCAAGTGAAGTCAGTGGAAGTCTTTCCATTGACTTCAGTAGACTTTGGATCAGCCTTCAATTGGCTATCTTCTCTTCATTTCAATCCCTCCTTAACACATGCGTCCTCTGCAACGTCCTGTAATGTTAATCCACTTAAGAGAGAAGCGTGTGTTTAAATATACGTGGACCTAGATACATGAGTGTGTGGTCTCCGTGTTTCCTAGTACTCTGTTGCTCTGTCTGTATCCAGTGTTTCTCTTGTCTTATACTTAGATTGTAATCTCTTTGGAGCAGTGACTGTCCTTTTGGTCTATGTTTGTCCAGCATCTAGCACAATGGAGTCCTGGTCCATGACCATGACTGCTAGGCACTATAACAAAACAACAACAAAGAACAACAACCACCATCACCAACCACCCAGCACCACCACCACCAGGCATAGAATATGTGAAACAATAGCAAGCTCTAGTAAATCAAGGGTTTCTTGTTTCTATGAAGTGAAGGGGATTTGTGAGACACTATATTCCATTGTGAAACATGCATAATATGTAGAAACTTGGAAAATAGAAGTACTTTCATTTTACAGGCAAACTCCCAGTGACAGGAAAGCTCAGTGGTTCATCATGATGTACTGATTCCTGGCAGGAAGCTCTGAGAATGTAACTCTCAGATATTGTCTGTTCTGAAAAGTTGTTTTTTTGTTTGCTAACACATTTCAGTTGGACACTTTGCAGTGACTGGTTAAATTATTCAACAAATTCCATGCTGTGGGTTATATTATCCTGTACTTACCACTTTGCAACTTGCTCTGTTTTGCTTTTTAATACCACAGTCAACAATTTCTAAGTTCATTTCCTTGCTAGCCTTTTACCTTCTGGTGTCCATGGTACCTTCTCTGCTGCACCGATGTGTAGCAATATCTTCAAGCATTGTTATGGACATTTGAAAGGGAGATATTGGACTCACCGGGCAGGGGGTGGGGGAGTCTATTTTGCTCTAATAAATAATTGGGTATGATAGGCAGCAAGCAGTACAGTGTGTGGCTAATAATGTTTAATACATTATCTCTGTAGTTCTTCTCTTTTTGTTTATACTGTAATATACTGAGTTTAATGTGCAAATATCACAACAATATATGCAGTTTAATTAGCTTTTGAGGATCAGTTTGGGCGGTATGTCATTTGATCCTTCTGAAACAAAGTTTGTTCACTTGTCTGTCATTGACTTCAGTGTAATTACTGCAGGGATGTATTTTGCATTATAGCCACATAGTCACCATGAAACCAAATGTAGCTACTGATGCAGACATCAGTACACAGATGCTATGGTGATTCCATTCCATTGCTGGGACAGACAGACTGAAAGACAGGTGAAATCCTCTCTGGTTCATCTCACGGAAACCAAGTTTTAACTGGGATGTATTTAGTCCCAAGAGACCCATGTGAATGTTGCTTCACCCCCATCCCCACGTGCCATCTCTTTCTTTCACACTTTGCTAATCCTCACTCCCCATAGAAAAACTACAGTGGCACCTGCCTTCTTGGCAATGATTTACTACCATAGTGTTAGAGTGTGATCTCGTGTTACTTAAACTTCATTACTTTTATAAAATATTCCGCAGAACATTTATTAGTTATGAATATTCTCATACATAATTAAAGCTAGACTGCACTTGACAAGGAAGCGAGCACAGTGTATTTTGTGATGCATTACCCTATCCTTTGGTGTTTTAGCTTTTGTTTCTCGTATTTGTTCACTAGCTCGGAAATTTGCCATATTCAGTAATTCACAATGGTTCTCCCAGGCTTCATTACAAATTAATGAGATTCCACTGCATTATATAATTAAGTACTGTTCTACTCACAATTACATAATAAATTTCAAAAACAAATGTAGATACACTTGGAACCATTTCTAAATTAATCAAAGGGGATAGTTTAGTTGTCTGACCATCAGTTTGGGGACATTTAGACTCCTTTGCACCACAGATTCTACTCCCAGCAGGCTTAAAGTAGGTGAATAGCCTACTGTTCAGTTAACTGTGGGAGGGAGTCCCTTAAAAGCGATTTTAAAAGTTGGGGGAGGAAATCATCTCCTGTGAGAAAACACGTGAGATGAGTCTGAGGGGAGAGAGAAACTACACTTCTCCATGAGAGCGTTCCCACATGTGTTGTGGGGAATATGTATGTGTGTTTTTCCCCTCAGTGCCCCAGTAGAATCAACAAGGTGCTCCTCCCCTGGGATTTACAGTCAACTAGAGTTGCTCTCCTATATGCCTTATGCCAATGCACCGGCTCTGAAAACACCTCTCTGCGGAGCAAAGGAAAGTGAATACTGGCAAAAGTGGTTACCATGCATGGATCATGTCCTGAGAAATGGTCTGTTCCGTATGGACATTAATGATCCAGTGACACTTCACACAGGAGTAAGGGTTTGCTCTCGTTCTGGTGCTATGCATTGTATTTGGCATCAATTGGTTAATTCCCCTCCTCCTCACCCCCCGATTTATCTATGTATCAGAAGTGCTATATTATGGTGGCGCCTGTATTAAAATGTTGTGATAGTTCTGTTACACACTGAGCAGCCTTCACTCACACTCAGCATAATGTTTTTGTGTCCTAAGATAGATAGTGAAGCAAGGTCGGATCTTTCTGCATGAAAGGTGCTATAAAAATTCAAAAGTTATAGCAACAAGTTCTGTACGAGTGTCCTTTTCTGGTATGCTAACAGGAGCCTTTTCTCTATTGTATTCAGTATTATCCCATTTACAGATTAATCATCCTTCTGAGAGCCAGAGTTACATGAAGCTAAGATCTGATGATGTTCTTACATGCTAGTTTGTTACAGGCTCTAATTTAGAAACAGTATTGCAGTTGCTGTTTTTTTAATTCAGAAGAGTTACTGTTGCTTTAACTAGTTAATTATTTGACACTTTGAAGACCCACTCATCACATAGCTTTGCCCTAACTGACCTAAAGATAAAGAGATTTCAAAATCTGACACTCTTGCTATCAGCTCTCCATTCACTTAATAATGGTATTTCACCACAAGCACGCAACACTGAGAGAACTTAGTTAGTACAGAAGAGTCAGCTGTCCTAGATGAATGGTATCCCTCAAACACAGCTCCTTAGAAATAGGGGAGGACTGCTTTTTGTTCTTTAGTGCTGCACAGTTATTCTAAGCAGCTGGGTAGTCTAATTTTTCAACCTCCTCCTTTTAACATGGCAACTCAATTGGTTCAGGTGCAAAGTTTGGTAACTGAAGTGCAACAAATGATGGTGTTGTTTAAGGGCCCTTTTAAGGTACAGTGAGAATATTTGGTCATCACTGTTCTATGCAGAAGAAAAAATATGTTTCCAAGATTGAGAAACTGGGCAACTCTTTTGGGTTTTGATGTATCTGTTGATCATTAACTGTGACCTTTCACCTTTTCAGAGTGACATGTTGGATGTAAACCAGATCATTAAAGACCTGGCCTCCATGGTTTATGAACAAGGCGACACAATAGGTAGGTATCACCATTAGTGTTAAGGTATGTACTTTATTATCTGATTTTGCCATTCAGATCTGAGGTGGCAACTCACCTACAAAAGAGTTTTAGGGGCCAAAATGATCCCAATGCCATGGCTGCTTAAGACAACTGAGTTGCCACTGAGACCATAGGGGATTTTGTCCATGGAAACCATCTTGGATTTGAAAAGCTGTCCTCTGTGATATTTGGGATAGTTACTGGTGGTGGTAACTTAAAAACAGATTTCACAGGAAGAACAATCCATTAGCTGTTGGATATAGGGTGGGGAAGACATACCCATAACTAGAATGGGAAGACATTGTTAATTTTCCTCTGGAATTGGAATGAAAAATTATTGTCGCTGCAGAAAAATGTATAGCTTGATTCTGCTTAATAGAGCTTGAGCCATAATATTCTGACACACACACGGTCCAAACATATGTCCAGAGCCTGACCCCTCCTTGCTCCCCCGCTGGCAGGGTTTTGGACCATAGTGAGGCAGCATGCTTGTGCATTGGTGGAACGCAGGGGAACAGAGGAAATGCCTAGTCATTGACTGTTTGTTCTCCAACATTAAGCGCATCATTGACAGGGAGTGGTGACGAGTGGGAAGAAATGGAGGCAAAATATAGGAGATCCAGATCTTTTAAAATGTCCTGTCCCCTCAGCTCCTTCATGACCATCTCCTGTTACAGCTAAGGGAAGGAAGGGTCAGATATGTTTCTCTCCCTCTTGTTTTACAGCATGTATGAGATAAAATGAACTATCCAGTGCCTTAAACAATTGCCAAAATTTCCTGAGTGCCTAAGTGAGACTCTTAAATCCATGTTTAGCGACCTAAATATAAAAGAAGCCTGATTTGCAAAGATGCTGAGCACTTGCAGCTCTCATAGAAGTCAGTGGGAGTTGGACCAGACCCTGAGAGAGAAATCATAAAAGGAGAAATACTTCCAGTCTGACTATTGATCACACTGTTTCCTTGCCAAGCACGCAGTCTTTGGCAAGTGTCCATTAAGCTGCAGACATGTCCATCGAAACAGAAATGTGCAAGTGCCATCACACAGCCTGTTTATTCACAGACACAGAGCAAAATCAAGATGACATCTGCAACAATTCATTTTTGATCTTGTGCATGTTTGGCAGCTCTTTTTGTGCGCAGATAACTTCTGAATCCGCTTGGGCTTCAGGAGGCGTATCAGATGTTAATGCCTTGAGGGACATGACAACATACATCAGTTAGTTTCATGACCCTTGTCACCAACTTCCTTGCGGCTAGATTTATTTTCTAAACCGTTACCCATGCGGTGGAAGTGGCCCTGATATTAACTTGCCTGGGAGAAAACAAAAAGCTGTAGAAAGTAGGACCTTTTGTCTTTAAACCAGCATCATGCTTTTACTGCTTTTATATAGGAGGCATTATTTTTCCAGTAGCACTGTTAACCTTTTTCTTTCTTTCTGAGTAGCTTTTCAGTCAATCAGCCAGTCAAGATATCTCTCTACTCAGTTGCTGTAAGTTCCCACTGTTTATCTTTTGACATTTATGTTACACACAAGTGAGAGGAATCAGAAGGTAAAGAGAGTTGAAACACCCACAGTGAAAATTCAGCATTGATGATAAGGGGGAGTTCTCACCACATCCAAGGTTTTAATTTCTGCCTGTTATACACATGAGATGAAAGTTCTGCAACTGTGTCTCCTCATTTAAATAAATACAAAAATACTTAGTGGGGGAGTATCAGGCTGGCCAGCAAAACATACTGTTGTGTCCATGTTACACGATCAGATCTCACACTCACTCGTGCCTGCCCTGGGCTTGCTGGGAGCAATAGAAAGGCAGTTTGTGCTCACCCCTGGGGGGAGACCCGTGTTCTTTCAAGGAACCTTCTGTAGCTCACCTAGCTACCAAGTTAGCTAGCTTCTGAGTCAACATGACCACAGTCCTTCTTAAAGGGAGGGAAGTTTGTTGCCATGCAAGGGATGGGCGGAATGAGTGAAGGAGGAAAAATGCAGAATCCTTGAGGATGCATCTCTGACATTTTGCATTTTCTGTACAGATATCACCATCCCTAAGGATTGTGATCTGTGTTCCCAGTAGCAGCATTTTCCTCTGTTTTAGTGGTTCAATGAACATGGAACTGAGGATCACAATAGCGATGGTCCTGATTCATTAAAAAATAGTGACACAGATTGCCATTGCATCAGGCACAAAACTCTTTTCAGTCCAGGGCAGTAGCAACCCCGAATAGTTTCAAATACAGATAGATACTGGATCATCTAGTCTGCCTCCCTGCCTCATTGCAGGACATGATCCATAAATCTGTACTGGATCCCCACTCACAGTCCTGTTTTACGCCAGCTTTGGTAATCAGTGAATGATCACCTGTGAGAGGTTGCTCCTTTGTATAACTGACACAAGCGCTCATGAAGGAAATGAAGTTAACTCCTGTAGTTATGCAGACAGCAATTTCAGTGGCATTGGACTTTTCCCATGTGTTAGCTGAGATGTCAACTTACATGTGACAGGCTTGCACAGCCAGGGATCAGCAAGTGGGCGGGAGTTTACATTTTCAAACAGGATTCAGACGTGGGTGTGGGAAACACTGCTTTTGTATTAAACAATATAAGGTAGGTGCGCAAATTCTCATTTGGAAAGTACACGCTACCTTATTAAATAGCATATAAATACCCAGCATTTGGTACCTTTCTAGGAACCAACCTCAACATGTTGACATGCAAGAGAAGTTCCACACCAGAGTCTGCGATTGCTGCTCAATTGGTTGCTTCTACTTCTGACCCTACTGCTCGCGGGAATGTTACCATGTTCACACACTATACTGCTGGAACGCCACGTCAAGGACAACACTCGCGGACCAAGACAAGGAAACCCAATTTTAGTCCACAGGAGACTGAAGTGCTTGTGCAGAAGGTCACCAAACACTACCAGCTACTTTTTGGGGCTTTAAGGGGGACCCCTGCCAAGAAGCACAGAGTGTGGAATAAGATCCTACAAGCTGTCAATGTTCTGGGTTATTGCAGGCGGGATATGGGGGATCTGAAACACAAATGGCGAGATCTCCGTGGGGTAGTGAGGAAAAAACTTGGGGAACATCAGAGAGCTGCAGCTGGAGGAGGGCCACCACAGTCCCTTGTCCTCACTCCAGTGGAGCGAAAGGTAGCAGAAACATTCTCCACTCAAACCATCCAAGGAGAGGGTCAAGGAGTTGACACCTTGAGAAGTAAGTTACACTGGTGCAATTATCAGAGCAACATTTACATATACATAAGCACACACACATTCAGCCACTCTACAGTACTCATCAGCTCAAAATTTACTCATCATTCTCTGTCAAAGAATATATTGTACACTGTATGGGCTGGTTTCTCCACTCACATACACTAGTGTAAATCAGGAATAAGTCCAATAAATCAATGTATAATTGGTATTGGTGCAAGGAGAATCTAGCCCTGCATCTAGCAGATTTGAAGGAGACATCATCGACATAGCCGGCAATATCATTCTCATTAGCACATGATTTGGGCGAACACACATCTATCCATCTCTGGAGTCTGCTGTTTGTGTTGCAAGAGGGAGTCCAGGTGATTGGAATAATGTGCACGTTGCATTTTTTTAACCCATGACAGAAAAAATACTGCTGTTCTCATGCCCATCAGGAAGAAGGAGATGCTTTCCTCTCCCATACACATAAACAATGTCTTTGGTATCCCGAAACAGTGCAAGAGCCAAATCCTTATGTAAGCTATCCTACATCAAACATCACAAGTAAGTTCACTGCTTACAGCTTCATCACATTTCTCACCGCTGAGTGCCAGATTATTCTGAAAGCATTTTACTAGGATTATAACGATTTCCCATTCCCACCCCCACCCCCCATCAGGCCATTTTGCCACCAACACTCATTCCTCAAGTAGAGCACATACATACCCCCAACCTGTTTCCTGAAAAGAGCAAGAGACCCAAAGACTGGTACATCCACACAATCAGTCCAAGACTACAGCACAGGAAACACAGGAACTCAATGCTTTATTCACCAGCTCCAGCTACCTCTTTGTCGTGCCTAAAGGTGTACAGATCACAGCTTTCACAGCAAGACCTGCTGTCAGGGAAGGGAAGCTGTATGACATGAAGATGAGAACTTTCTTCACCCCTGTTTTTCTTCCATTTCTTATTACCACATTTGCCACCCATCCACCTTCTCCTGTTGCTGAGTCTGAGTTGCCTGGTTTTTAGATTTTGGTTGATACTGATATTGCACTTCACCACATCCTGAAGTCTGGACATCTCGGACTAAGAATAATAAGGCTGAGGACAAGGACATTTGGTAATGCAGCCTGATTTGGAGGCTTGAATAGTTTAGAGAATTCACATACCTGGTGTCTTCCAGCCTTCAGCATGCAGGCCTGCCCAGGAAACAGGGGAAATGTGTCAGTTGGTTCATCTTCTTGTTACATTGAGGGATAGAGAAAATTGTTCAGTTGGGTCAATAAATGTAGTCCTTTAGCTGGGTTGATATTTGTTTGAATGCATCATTGTCATTTCCCCCCAGTCTTAATAAATGACTCTATGAAAGGGAAATGTGTTTGTATTGATGTAAATGTGGGATCACTGAGATTATTTGTTTTGGGGGTTGGGAGAGCACCTTGCACCTGCCACCACCATAGCCTCTTCTGTCCCCTGGAACCAGCCCTGTTTGGCCAGCATCATTTCCTAAAGCTGGGTACTTCCATCTTGGCTGACGTCTTTTCAAAAGAGTGATGCTTCATTTGCAGAGTCATGGGATTTAACATGCAGCATGCTTAAAAGAGTTTACACAGTGTCCTGGGATCAACCACAAAGAGCCATCACTCATGTCCTCTGCAAGCCTCTTCAGGTCACTTTGGAAGATTCTTCATATATGTTCTGTGACTGATGGCTTAGTGGCACAGGAATTGCTTTGTTATGAAGAGTCCCCTGGAGACTGGATGGAGTCTGCTATCAAATACAATAAAACAAGAGACTTTGGAAAATCAGACAGCTGGATCGTTAACTAAACTGTCCTGTGGCTGAGTTGGGACATCTGAAAAATGAATGCATCCTGGGAATGGTCCCTGAATACCTGGACTTAACATTTCTGGTAACCTTTCTACAATAGAATGGGGTCTACATATTCATATCCATTCAGTTGGTAACACTTCCTAAATATCAGAGGAGACAATTATATTGATGGATATATTTATGTACTCGGTTCTTTGTGCACTGCAGAATCCTCACTTGGCTCTTTCATGTCTAGCTGTTCCTGGGGTAAGACATGGAGTTATGTGTCAGAGCAGGGTACCACTTCTCCAGAAGTTGTGCACAGTGGCATCCAAGTCTTTCTGAAGTTGCTACTTATCTATTTCAGATGAGGCACGCATTTTTCATTTTATTTTGAAGACATAACTCAGAAGCTGTTGAACCAAAGTGTATACTTTGGAGCCGGTTTACTCTGTCTTCTTCTCAACACAGTTATGACTAACAGCTTTATTATAAACAGTACCATCCATAGCGTATTTCTCAGGAGGCAGGCACAGGTTAGTTTGATCTTCTCTGTTCTTCTCATTTCACAAATAGTGGCAGGGGGTGCAAGGAATGTATGAGTCTTTGCGTTTTATTTCTCTGTGTTTTAAAGTCTATGTCTCTGAGTTTCTGTCTCTTGCCTCATTGTTTGCACATTCTTTTTATAATGCTAATGGTGTTAGGAAGACAGTGTGTGTGTTTTGTAAAGAAAAGAGTAATGGGTGATTACAGACTTATAAGTTTACTAATGCCTAAAGATGTGTCTGCTGTTCTGTATTTGATCTTCTTAATGTGACTGGGTTGTTGTAGTTGCAGCTAATGAGCCAAGTAATTTTGTACAAGAAACTAGCTCCATGGATGTGGATGGAGGTCTCTTCTTTTTATGATTTTTTTTTTTTGCCACCAGTAGAATTCTCTGCTGCTGTGAACATGAAGCCCAGTTCATCTGAAGTTGTTATCAGGAAGCTGCACTGCTGTGCTCTGAACTCCCAGAAATCCTGTGATTGAGCTGGAAGGGTCATAAATGTACAACCAGCTGAGTTGTTGGTTTATTTCTGCTGGTAGGCGTCACACTCTGTCTTAGAAGGGTAGCGTGTGGGATACCATGTTATGAATAGGTTAAATAAATCAAACCAACCATTGCAAGGGAAAAACAAATCATAAATATCATGGATTTTACTTTGGAGGCAAAATTCAGCCTTTCCAAAATAACAAGCAAACATACACACCTTTTTTGTAAATTAATCGGACACATTGTCTTGATATTTTCCTCTGACTGGGAAGAGTTGACACCTTTGGATTAGTCCACTGAGTTATAGGAGTAGATAGATTATACATTTGAGTCTCTGAGATTTTATTTTTATTTATTTTTGGCATAATTCTAGGCTTGAGTGGACTTGCAAAATATTCTGAGATTGATAGTGCATGTAAAATGAATTTTGCATAAATGATAAGCTATTGACACTATGGTATAATTCTACAATTTGGATAGGTTTTATGGAGGTTTAAATATTTCCAAACCACATTTTAAGGGCATCTGTCATTTACTAAGCAGTGCAAATCACTGCTTTGTCTGGGACTAAAGGTAGGTGAAGTAATGTTAATGTGAGTACACTCCTTTACACCCACTTCTGCTAGTATAAACGAGGGCACAGGGTCCTTGATGAAGGCAAATCCAGCAAGCAGCAGGTAGTGGCATTTCATGGTGGTTATAATGTCTGTTCCACTTTGATCTTCAAGGAGTCAATAGAGAGATTTTTTTAAAAGTGCTGGCTGGGTTCACTCATTTGGCACAACACCTTGGCAGGGGTCTTTTATGTTACCCTTTGCGGAAATCAGAACTGCCATCTCCCATGAGAAACCCTTGGATAGGGTAGAGATGTGGATGCTGGCTGCCCTCCATTGGGGATTAATACCCCCAGGTCTTGATGGCTTAGGGAGCTACAAATTGCACCTCGTTAAGTTAACCTGATCCACTTACCTTCATTTCTAAATTGGGAGAGCACATATTTTACATACTCTATAGACCTGATTTTGCAGGTTGACTTACACACGTTTAGATATGACCAAACACTGTCATTTTAAGCTTTACTCTGGAAGAACTCCCATATCTATCAATGAGAGCTAAGTCCCCAATCTAGCACGGGGCAAAACAGGATGTGTCCTGTGAAATGCTCTTTGAGTTAAGGATTCTCAGCACCTCACAGTCACAGACCACAAAGAATGACGCAAGACTTGATTCATACTATGTGCAAATTAGAACTGGTTGAAATTTTTCTCACTAAAGCATTTTCATCGAAAAGTGGTCTTTATTCAAAAAAAGGAACATTTTGACTTTATGTTCCATTTTTCACAATGTCTCACACCAAATTTTTACTGACATTTTTATGAAAAAATGTTTGATAAAAATATAGGTATAATTTTGCTTAAAGAAACGTCATGAACAATTTTTTGGAAAACAGAATGGACCCATTGCAAACCCTTCAAAAAAGAAGCTATTTTAAATTTGTTTGCAAAATCCTTCTCCTGTTCTTCAACCAGCCCTAACACAAATACCTGCCCAGTGAAACCAATTAATAATGACCACTGTGAGGACCCTGATTTTGTCCTATTATAACCGGTGACTGTTCAACACAGTGCAACAAAAAATGAAAAAAAAACACCACCCCGATCACTCTGACTTAGATGCCGTTAAGTATGGAATTCACTTTCACTTATGTAATTTCACATAGAAGATTTTGCTGTCCGTTAACATTGGTTGATCATAGACACCAGGTGACCTTAAGCAGAGGTGTGACAGGGTAGGGTCTCATTCTGGTCTCTTTTGAAGTTACAAATAGTTGGAGATCTTCTTCTGGTAAGCACCTCATGTGGTTTATTTTGCAGTGTTCTCCCCACCACTTTCACAGACGTGTGCAGCCCACTGTTTATAGTTTCATACAGTCCTTAACTCCCTTAGCCAAGGAGCGATTACACAGAAAGGATCTTCCTCCTGGGAGATCCCGCTGGGCTGTGACTCTGAAAGCTTCCCTTTCTCACCTTCCCCGCTTCCCCTGTCTTTTCTACCTTCTGCCTAATGGGCTAACTAGCCTTTCAGCTCTCCACAGCCCAGCCCAATCCATCAATTAGGCCCAGTTCTTCTTAATCAGCTCTACTCTAGAGCAACTAATTAGAGTTGCAGTG